ATTAGCTCTTGTAGACCAGGCTGGTCTTGAACTCACAGAGATCCGCCTGCCTCTGCCTCCCCAGTGCTGGGATTAAAGGTGTGTACCACCACCGCCCAACTGCCCGGCCACCTGTAGCTTCTTGAGAGGAATGTGTATGAATAGCTAGGAGTTTTCCCAGAGCTTTCCCTTGGGTGTTCCTTCAAGTGATTATGGCCTGTACTCTGGACATTCAGGGAAGGGTCTGAATGAGGAGAGGCCTGGGCTTATCTGACCCTTACTGTCTTTCCCCACAGAGTTCTAGGGGCAATGGCTGTGTCACTCTGGGCCCTGACCTTCCTGGGTCTGGCGGGCCTAGGGTTGAACCTACGGTCCCGCAAGCCGGAGAGTTTCCGCAGTGACACAGAGCTGAACCACCTGGTTGTGGATGAGGCCTCGGGTGTGGTATATGTTGGGGCAGTGAACGCGCTCTACCAGCTGAGTGCTGACCTGCATCTCCAGCAGCATGTGGTCACAGGACCCGCCATGGATAACAAGAAGTGCACACCACCCATTGAGGCTAGTCAGTGCCATGAAGCAGTGCTCACTGACAACGTCAACCAGCTGTTGCTGCTCGACCCACCTGGGAAACGCCTAGTCGAGTGTGGCAGCCTTTTCAAGGGCATCTGTGCTCTGCGTGCCCTGAGCAATATATCGGTGCGCCTCTTCTATGAGGATGGCAGTGGAGAGAAGTCCTTTGTAGCCAGCAATGACGAGAGAGTGGCCACAGTAGGGCTGGTGAGCTCCACGAGACCCGATGGTGAGCACGTGCTGTTTGTGGGCAAAGGCAATGGGCCACATGACAACGGCATCATCGTGAGCACCGGCCTGCTGGACAGGGCTGAGGGCCTGGAGGCCTTTGAGGCCTACTCAGACCATACCACCTTCAAGGCTGGCTACCTGTCCACTAACACTCAGCAGTTCATTGCAGCCTTTGAGGATGGCCGCTATGTTTTTTTCATCTTCAACCAGCAAGACAAGCACCCTGCTAGGAACCGCACACTCCTGGCACGCATGTGCAAAGATGATCCCTCCTACTACTCCTATGTAGAGATGGACCTGCAGTGTCGGGATCCCAGTGACCCCCAAGGCCCGTTCTTTGGTACCTGCCTAGCGGCATCTGTAGCCACACCAGGTGCTGGCAGGGCACTCTATGCTGTCTTCAGCAGAGATGGCCGGAGCAGTGGGGGGCCTGGTGCAGGCCTCTGTGTTTTCCCACTAGATGAAGTCAATGCCAAGATGGAAGCCAGCCGTAATAACTGCTACACAGGTATCCGAGAGACAGGCCGTGAAACCTTCTACAAGCCCTTCCACGGAGACATCCAGTGTGGTGGCCATGTGCAAGTACGTGTCTTGCCTGTTCATAGGTGTATGTTTCCCCTTGAGTGTCAGCATATTTGTGTTGTGGAGGATAGGGTCTGGCTCCTATAGCTTGGAGCCCTGGTAGGGAAAAACCTAGGAGACAAGGCCCTGTCCTGACGCTGTGATCCACAGGGTGCCATCGAGAGCTTCCCGTGTGGCTCGGAGCATCTGCCCTACCCACTGGGCAGCCGTGATGGACTCATCACCACAGCCCTTCTGTACCGTGGGGGCCTGAATCTGACAGCAGTGACGGTCACTGCCGAGAATGGCCATATTGTCGCCTTCCTGGGCACCTCAGATGGCCGGATCCTTAAGGTACTGCCCCCAGCAGAGAGGTTTCTAGAGCGACCGGTTAGGCATGATGCCCCCTGTTCTCATGGACTGCCTTGGTGTTCACAGGTGTACCTTGCCCCAGATGGTACTTCTGCAGAGTATGGCTCTATCCTGGGAGACATCAACAAGAAAATCAAGCAGGACCTGGCACTGTCTGGAAACCTGTCCAGTCTGTATGCTATGACCCATGATAAGGTCAGCCTAAAGATGGCCTCAGAAGGCCATTTTGAAACAAGCCTGGAGGATATGCTGGGCTTTGCCTTGGACAGTTGCACAGAGCCCGGGCTCATGTCTCTGAGTCTTCATAGCACCATTGTTATCTTCAGATGTTTTATTTTGAGCACCAGGAATTAGAACTAGGGTCTTACGCGTGTGAGGCAAGAGCTTTTTCACTGAGCTGTGTCTCCAGTCTTCCCTTTCTCAACAAGCTTTCCTTTTCTGATCTTGCCCTAAGCTGATAGGTAGTTATGAATCAAGCTGGCCCAGGGGATTCCTTATTGGTAGTCCCAGGAGAGTCTGGTATCTGAAGTGGGGCCCCGTGTCTCTAAGTCATGTTGCCCCAAAGCCCTGCTATCTCACCTCTAGGTGTTCCGGCTCCCAGTGCAAGAATGTCTGAGCTACCTAACCTGTGCTCAGTGTCGTGACTCCCAAGATCCCTACTGTGGCTGGTGTGTCGTCGAGGGACGATGCACCAGGAGGGCCAAGTGCTCACGGGCTGAGGAAACTCGCCACTGGCTGTGGAGCTGGAGCAAATCCTGTGTGGCCATTACTGATGCTAATCCACAGAATATGAGCCAGTGGGCTCCAAGACAGGTACGGCTGTCTGTCAGCCCCCTACCCACCCTGACTCAGGAGGATGAGTTGCTGTGCCTCTTTGGTGAACCACCACCACGCTCTGCCCAGGTGGAGGGGGATGCCATCATCTGTGACCCCCCAAGCAGCATCCCTAGCACACCACCAGGCCAAGACCATGTGGCTGTGAGCAGCCAGCTCCTCTTCAAACATGGCAGTGTCTTCCTCACCTCCCACCAGTATCCTTTCTATGACTGCAGAGAGGCTATGAGCTTGGTGAAGAACCTGCCGTGCATCTCTTGCACTAGCAACTGTTGGATGTGCCAGTGGGACCTGCTGTATCATGAGTGTCGAGAGGCCTCACCCAACCCGGAGGATGGAATCATACGTGCCCACATGGAGGTCAACTGCCCCCAGTTCCTGGACCCTAGCCCTTCGGTCATCCCCATGAACCATGAGACAGAAGTGACCTTCCAGGGCAAGAACTTGGACACTGGGAAGGTCTCTTCCCTCTATGTGGGCAGTGACCTATTGAAGTTCGAGGCAACTGTGACTATGCAGGAGTCAGGAGCCTTCTCTTTTAAGACCCCAAAGCTATCCATGACACTAATGAGACACTGCCTCTTCACCTGTATGTTAAGTCCTTTGACAAGAAAATTGACAGCAAGCTACAAGTGACTCTACAACAGCTCCTTTGGCCGCAGTGACTGTAGCCTGTGTCTGGCTGCTGATCCTGCCTACAGGTGTGTGTGGTGCCGGGGGCAGAACCGGTGTGTGTATGAGGCCCTGTGCAGCAATGTTACTTCAGAATGCCCACCACCAGTCATTACCAGGGTGAGTTTTGCCACAACTGACCTCTACCCCGTCCCCACAGCTTCATCTTCCCAAGCCATTCATTTACCAGGCTCTGCCAATTTCAGATCCAGCCTGAGACAGGCCCACTGGGTGGGGGCATCCGAGTCACTATCCATGGGTCCAATTTGGGTGTCACAGCAGATGATGTCAAGAAGATCACTGTGGCTGGCCAAAACTGTGCCTTTGAACCAAAATGGTACTCCGTATCTACCCAGGTTGTGTGTGCAATTGAGGCTGCAGAGATGCCTTTCATGGGAGGTATTGAGGTGGATGTAAATGGAAAGCGTGGCCATTCACCACCACACGTCCAGTTCACTTACCAACAACCCCAGCCTCTCAGTGTGGAGCCACGACAGGGGCCACAGGCAGGTGGTACCACATTGACCATCAATGGCAATCACCTGGACCCAGGCTCCAAGGAGGATGTTCAGGTGACACTCAATGATGTCCCTTGTGAAGTGACAAAGTTTGGAGAACAGCTGCTGTGTGTCATGGGTCCACAGTTGGCTCCAGGCCAGATGGTACTAGAAATCTCGTATGGGGGCTCCCAAGTGCCCAGCTCTGGTGTCTCCTTCACCTACTGTGAGAACCCAGTGTTACGAGCCTTTGAACCACTGAGAAGCTTTGTCAGTGGTGGCCGGAGCATCAATGTTACAGTCCAGGGCTTCAGCCTCATCCAGAAGTTCACCATGGTTGTCATTGCTGAGCCCTTGAGGTCCTGGCAGAGGTGGCGGGAGGCTGAATCCCTGGAACCCATGATGGTCACAGGCACTGAGTACGTGTTCTACAATGACACCAAGGTTGTCTTCTTGTCGCCTGCTGTCCCTGAAGAACCTGAGGCTTACGACCTCACTGCATTGATACAGATGGATGGTCATCGTGCCCTGCTCAGGACCGAAGCTGGTGCCTTTGAGTATGTGGCGGATCCCACCTTTGAGAACTTCACAGGTGGCGACAAGAAGCAGGTCAACAAGCTCATCCATGCCCAGGGAACCAATCTGAACAAGGCCATGACGCTGGAGGAGGCTGAGGCATTTGTGGGTGCTGAGCATTGCATTATGAAGATGCTGACTGAGACTGACCTATACTGTGAACCCTCAGAGGTGCAGCCCCCACCCAAGCGGCGGCAGAAGCAAGACACAACACACAACTTGCCTGAGTTCATTGTGAAGTTTGGCTCTCGAGAGTGTGTGCTAGGCTGGGTGGAGTATGACACACGTGTGATTGACGTGCCGCTCAGTCTCATCCTGATATGCATATCTAATGATATGCATGAGGCGGGCAACCCCACGCTGGACTATAAGACCTACACCAACCGCATCTTCGTCCTGCCCTCCAAGGATGGTGACAAGGATGTCATGATCACTGGCAAGCTAGACATTCCTGAGTCACTGCGGCCCATTGTGGAGCAGGCCCTCTACCAGTTCGCTAACCTGCTTGATAGCAAGTCCTTCCTTATCAATTTCATCCACACCCTAGAGAATCAACGTGAGTTCTCAGCCCGTGCCAAGGTATACTTCGCATCACTGCTGACGGTGGCCCTGCATGGGAAGCTGGAGTACTACACGGACATCATGCGTACACTCTTCCTGGAACTCATGGAGCAGTATGTGGTGGCCAAGAATCCGAAGCTGATGCTTCGCAGGTTTGTGGGTGACAGAGCCCATGTTAATGACAGGTGGGGCAGGGTGGGGCTTGTTTGGACAGACAGGAAGCCAGATCCTAGGCTGTACTGCCCTTGGTATGAGCTGCTCCATAGCCATTCTGGATGGTTATGCCCCTCCACAGGGGCCACACTACCTTTCTGCTCACATGAGTACTGCGGGTGGGGTCCTGGAGTCAGCTGGGCCTTGGGAATATGAGAACTCTGTGTACTCTCAGGTCTGAGACAGTGGTGGAAAGGATGCTGTCCAACTGGATGTCCATCTGTCTGTACCAGTACCTCAAGGTAAGCTCCAACTCTAGGATCGGGTGGGTGAATTGGTGCCATCCCTCCCATCACCTGCTTGTCTGAGTGTCTGGAAGGAGGTCCAGCCCCACCATGCATGTCAGTCCCATGCCTCCCACTCATACAGCCCCCTTCCTCCAGGATAGCGCAGGTGAGCCCCTGTACAAGCTCTTCAAGGCCATCAAACACCAGGTGGAAAGGGGGCCAGTGGACGCTGTGCAGAAGAAGGCCAAGTACACCCTAAACGACACAGGGCTGCTTGGGGATGATGTCGAGTATGCACCTCTGGTGAGTCCCCCAGAGCCAGGAGCCAGCTTGGACCCCATATCGGAACCCAGCAGGATGAAGCCAAGTTGTCCTGGGTGGGGTCTCTGGTGTAGAGGTGTGGTTACAAGGATTCTCCCTCCCTTAGCCAGTCCTACTCCCCCCCACACACACACACATACACACCCCACACACTTTGGCTTTTTAAGACAGGGTTTCTCTGTGTAACAGCTCATTGGAAATAGCTCTGTAGACCAGGCTGTCCTTGAACTCACAGAGGCCTGCCTCTGCCTTCCAAGTGCTGGGGTTAAAGGAGTGCACCACCAGCATCAGGCAGTACTTACCCTGTGTTCCTGGCAGACGGTGAGCGTGATCATTCAGGATGAAGGAGTTGAGGCCATCCCAGTCAAGGTCCTCAACTGTGACACCATATCTCAGGTCAAAGAGAAGATCATTGATCAGGTGTACCGTACACAGCCCTGCTCTTGCTGGCCCAAGCCTGACAGTGTGGTCCTTGGTGAGTATTACCTGTTCGTGGGGCCCACGTGCCCAGCTCTCCTGGGAATGGGCAGCCATGAGGCCCTGGTTCCCAAAACTGAGCTATGTCCTTCTGTAGAATGGCGTCCTGGGTCCACGGCCCAGATTCTGTCTGACTTGGACCTTACCTCTCAGCGGGAAGGCCGGTGGAAACGAATCAACACCCTTATGCACTACAATGTGAGTGTTGAGAGGTACCCCAGGCAGGGGAATGGTACAGGAGTCCACAGTAGAAACATAACCTTCCCTTATGACTCTATTCTCCAGGTCCGGGATGGAGCCACCCTCATCTTGTCTAAGGTGGGAGTCTCCCAGCAACCAGAGGACAGCCAACAGGACCTTCCTGGGGAGCGTGAGTCTATGCTGTTTTTCTTGGCCTTTCTAGTCCCTAAAGGTCTGTGAAGACCATATCCTTCCTTTGCTGCCACCTAGTGGACCCTAGGAACCCTACCTATCAAGCTTCAGTCCATGCCTACCTTGAATTGGAGCTGTGTCCCTCAGCTCCCTGCTCCCCACAGGCCATGCCCTTCTGGAAGAGGAAAACCGTGTGTGGCACTTAGTGAGGCCAACAGATGAGGTAGATGAAGGCAAGTCCAAGCGCGGCAGCGTGAAGGAGAAAGAGCGAACCAAGGCGATCACAGAAATCTACCTGACACGGCTGCTCTCGGTCAAGGTGATAACACTCATGCACAGGTACACATTCCCACACACTGGTGTCTGGGTCTGCACCCCAGGGGGTCACACCCAGCCGCTCTCCTTTACAGGGCACACTGCAGCAATTTGTGGACAACTTTTTCCAAAGTGTGCTGGCTCCCGGGAATGCAGTGCCACCCGCAGTCAAGTATTTCTTTGATTTCTTGGATGAGCAGGCAGAGAAGCATGATATCCGGGATGAGGATACCATCCATATCTGGAAAACCAATAGGTGAGGCCCTGCCCTCTGTCGCTGTGCCCTGCCAGAGCCCAGCACAGCCTCTCACTCCCTGTCAATCGGCTACAGTTTACCACTTCGGTTCTGGGTGAACATCCTGAAGAACCCTCATTTCATCTTTGATGTCCATGTCCATGAAGTGGTGGATGCCTCCCTGTCAGTTATTGCACAGACATTCATGGATGCCTGTACTCGCACAGAGCACAAGCTGAGCCGTGTGAGTAGGGCTTGTGGGTCATAAGTTGGGTCAACTGCCCGGGAGGGGTGGAGGAACTAGTCTGGACAGCACCCATAGGGAGGAAGCTATGATTGACATGGGGTGAGTTTGGATTATGCCAAAAGCTTGTCTTAATGTGGGTTTGTATTTTTTGGGTTAAAGTTTGGGACAGAAGCAGGTGAAGGTGACCAAGTCTTCAGGGCTGCCTTGAAGATGATCGCCGCCCTTCCTTCACCTCCATGGGACTCCCGTCCCTTCTTACTCATTACCCCACCCCAGGCTCCAGTGCTTTCTTCCAGCCTGAGCCTTGTTACTACTTTGTGGGGACTGAATAGCAGTGTCAAGTGTTTTGTCTTCCACAGGACTCTCCCAGCAACAAGCTGCTGTATGCAAAGGAGATCTCTACCTACAAGAAGATGGTAGAGGAGTAAGTTATGTGGAGGAGGGCTGGGGAACAACTGGGAATCCCTAAAATTCCCCCCTCATTCACCTCCTGCCTCCATCCGTAACTCTTCTTCTCCTGTAGCTACTATAAGGGCATCCGGCAGATGGTGCAGGTCAGCGACCAAGACATGAACACACACTTGGCAGAAATTTCCAGGGTAAGGGTCACAGAGTTCCACAAGAGCAAGGGCTCTCTCTAATGCCCACTGCTGAACCAGAGACTGAACTACAGAACAGGTTGAAACTACCATGATGAGAGAAGCAGAGGATAGCCAAGTGGGTGTGTTGGTCAGACAAGCTTCATTGAGTGTAGCAGAGCCCTAGGAAGAGGTGAACAAACATGTGTGCAGAAACTGATGTGTAGGCAATGTGTAGGCTCAGAGCCCTGACATACGTGCTATACTGGCTATGGCTGAGCAGCTGCTGTCATGTGCATGGACTTTGCATGTGGCCTTCCAAGGTGTGGTAGCCCTTTTACTGGTGTATCTGTGAGGTTGCCACACAGCCAACACATTACAGCTTGCTGTTCTGTGGGACTGGTCTTGGGGCTCCCATAGCCCCTTCTCATACTGGGTAATACTGTCATCCCCAGGCACACACAGACTCCTTGAACACACTTGTGGCACTGCACCAGCTCTACCAGTACACACAAAAGTACTATGATGAGGTATGGTCCGGGTCCCTGTGGTGAAACTCAGGACAGCCTGCCCCCCATCCACCCCCAGCCTGTGATCTGACAAGTGTCCTCTGTGTCCATCTCGCCCTCCCAACCCGGGCCCCTGCCCCACCAGATCATCAATGCTTTGGAGGAGGACCCTGCAGCCCAAAAGATGCAATTGGCCTTCCGCCTGCAGCAGATTGCCGCTGCGCTTGAGAACAAGGTTACAGACCTCTGACCACCAGGACTGCCTCAGGATGCAGGTGTGTGGTACCATGGCATTGGGCAGCCTCTTGGCGTGAGATTGCACTGGCTGTAGCTGAGTTCTTCTCTCTCTCCAGTAGAGGATGCACCCAAGGCGTCTGGAGTGGGTATAGTGGGCCCACCTCCTGTAGACTTGTAGCGTCTTTCTCCTGAGCAATACTGCCCGGGGCGCCCGAGTCAGCACCAGCTCCTTCCAATGGCACCAGCATCGGGTGCTCTCTGTGTTGTCTCCTGAGTAATTCGCAAATGTGCCTTACAAAGCCACACTGGGCCACTGGGGGCTGTGGAGCCTTGGCTTCCCCTTCCCATGCACCAGCAGCCTAGCCTCCTCAGATACTCTGGGTTTGGTCTGTAGCTCCCATGGCCAGTTCCTGGACTGTATCTGCCTGCCAGATGGAAGGAGAAGAAAAGCGGTACAATGCCTTCCTGACCTCACTGAGCCTCCCCATGGGGCGCAGGCATTCCAGGAGGACTTTGAGGGCCATCACTGGCTCCACCTCTAAGGTCAAGCTGGACGTCAGATGTTGGGGCCCAGGTGGCCAGAGGGACCCAGAAAACTGAGGTCCTGGTCTCAGCTGTCAAACAGGCTGTCCTGGAGGCCCTGCCTGGATCTGGGGTGCTGGAGCAGCATCTCCACCAGGACCACCCACCCCTTTTTGTAAATCTTGATTGTAAATCCAATACAGTTGTCTTTTTCACTCTCTGGTTGGCTGGGTTTCTCCTTGGGTTGTCCATCTGTCACTACTCACCTTGCCCCATCCCTTGGGCCTGAGCTGCTCTCAGCCTTTTTCTGGACACCAAAATAGGCCCCTGTGAGGGCCAATCTGGGGTCTCTGTGGACACAAGGATTAGGCTAGCTCTTAGCATCTTGGGCTTCAGCAGCCTTCAGCTTACACACCCTCTCCTGACTTTTTCCTTCACCTTTTTTTCCACTGGGCTTCCCACATGACAGGAGTAGAAGGGATGCGTGCCATATCCTAACCTTGTATTCCCCACACTTGTTTCTGCGGAAGTTGCCTCTTTCCACCTTGTGGGTTCTGGGGATCAAACACAGGTCACCAGGTTTGGTGGCAAGCCCCTTTAGCCTCAGAGCTATCTGGCTAGTCCTCCATACCCGTTTCTAAGGTGTGTTGGCACCTTGCATACAGCACATATGTATGAAGATAGTGTGTGCACTGAGTTTCAAGGGGGCCTTGAGATCAGCTTCTGTTCAGGGCCACAAGATGTTGCAAGATACTACAGGATACAAAGTCCATGACCAGGGGCTAGAGAGATGGCTCAGTGGTTAAGAGCACTGGCTGTTCTTCCAGAGGTCTTGAGATCAATTCCCAACAACCACATGGTGGCTCACAACCATCTGTAATGGGCTCTGATGTCCTTTTCTGGTGTGCAGGCATACACGCAGATAGAGCATATTAAATAAATAAATGAACCGTTAAAAAAGAGTCCGCCGGGTGGTGGTGGTGGTGGCGGTGGCGGCGGCACACGCCTTTAATCCCAGCACTCATGAGGTAGAGGCAGGTGGATCTCCGTGATTTCGAGACCAACCTGATCTACAAGAACTAGTTCCAGGACAGCTTCCAAAGCCACAGAGAAACCCTGTCTTGGGGAGAAAAAAAAAAAAAAGTTCATAGCCAGAGAGCCAGTGGTGCTGTGAGTTCCAAGAATCTGTTAGTGGTGCACTTGGGAGGCAGAAGGCTGGTGGATTTCTGTGAGTTGGAGGCCAGTCTGGTCCACAAAGTGAGTTCCAGGACAGCCAGAGCCAAACAGTGAAACCCAGTCCCAAAAAAACAAAAAGAAAAAGTCTGTTAATGTGTGTCTTCGTTCCTGTACTATTGCTGTGAGGAAAAACCATGACCAAGTCAATTCACAACAGAAATCACTTATTTGGGAGCTTGCTTACAGTTTCAGAGGGTTAGTTAGTGCCTGACCATCATGGAGGGGAGCATGGTGGCAGGTAGGCATAGCACCGGAGCAGTAACTGAGGGCTCACGCACATCTGTTCAGAAAGTTGCAGGCAGAGACAGACAGACTGCAACTGACTTGGGCATTTGAAACCTCAAAGCCTGCCTTCACCCCCACCCCCTGTGAGACAGCCTCCTCTACCAAGGCCACACCTCTTAATCCTAAACAGTCCTCCAACTGGGACCAAGCATTCAAACATTTTCTCATTCAGACCACTACAATGGGAAAGAGGATTTCTCCTAATCCCAGGCGCAGGGCAGAGACCTAGACAGTACCCTAGTGCTCGTGTGAGATATGCACACACAGTAAGAACCTCATCAATTCCACAAGGTTTTTTTGTTGTTGGTTAGCTTTTTGGTTTTTGGAAAGAGTATCAATGTATAACCCTGGCTGGCCTGGAACTTTCTTTGTAGACCAGAAGTGGCCTTGAACTCAGATGTGCCTGCCTGTTTCTGAGGTTAATGGTGTGTGCCACCACACCCAGCTCCACAAGCACTTCTGCTGTGGGTACTGAATGAGACAGAAGCTGGACAAATGGGTCTGCCCTTGGGGAGCCTCCCATGCTCTCCAGATACCTACTCAAGACAGTGTTCCATAACAGGAAGTGAAGTGGTCCAGTTTGATTCTGGCTGGATCTAAATGCTGTCCATGGATCCCACCCATCCTTCTGAACTAGTCCCAGAATGCACTGGCACATCCTATGTCTGGGGAGTCCTGATGGGGACTCCCAAGAAGGAGTATGAGGCCAACAACCAATATCCCCCAACAACCCTCTGAAGAGATGCTTCTACTGTGATTCAACACAAGGCTCTCCCGAAGAGATGGCTGGCCCAGAAGTCCAACTAAGTATAACTAAGTCACCAGGGGTGAAGGGGTCATGTTTTGGAATGCTGAGCTGGGATAAAATAACTGGGAACCTTGAGACCTGGCTTCCAGAATGGACCCCTAAGACCATCTTCTCACTGGACAGAAGCATACAAACTGCTGAGCTTTGGGGTGGGTATCAATCCCAACAGTTTCCAGGTGGAGGGTCCATCCTTACTCCTCACATTTCTCCAAGGGTAGACAGATGTATACAGAGATTCGGGGCTTGCCCTGCTCTAGAATAAAACCCGGGCCTCTGTAATGGAGTGCTTAGGGATAGGAGGGGCATGAGACCAGCTTTGAGTTGTAGCAGCATCACCAACAAACCCAGGGATGACCCATCTTTGTATATGTCTTCATTTTCTTTCCATTGTACTAGAGACAGAGGCGGAGGATGAGAAAGGACTGTGGTAGGCAACCTTTAGTGCTGCCCCTAAATCAGTGCCTTCCAGATTTATCTTTTACAAAATGCATTCTGACCCACTGTCGGAATCTGGGATCTGAGTGGACAAGCTAACCACTGGGGAACTATCACAGCTGTCTAATTGAAAAAGGGGACTTGAGCATAGGCAGCAACAGAAGATGGGATTGAATTTAGGGGTGGCACTAAATCATAGAGGAGGATAGAGACAGGGTCCTGGACTTTTTCTGTTGCAGCCCCCTCATCACCCTCCGGTACCCCCACACATCTATCTACCTGCTATTGTAATGCTACCTTGTAGTTGCTATCCTCACTACCAGCTTAAACTCAGATGGCCACTCCCTATAGTGTTTGATCCCACACAATCCTCAGAAGGCACCTGGTACCTGTGGGTGGGCATGCCAGGTGGAGAGGGTGTTCAGAGCAGTTTACTGAGGATGAGAGAATCACAACTGTATGAGAGCTAAACCTGGCTAGACCTAACTCCTGGCTAACAGTAGTCCACTCTGACCCTTTCCAGGGTCAGACTTAGCAGGGAAGCAGTTAGGAAAATTGATCTGAGACTCTCCTGGGTAGGTGGCTACTAGCTTCCCAAGTCTTCATCCTGCCCCCTTCCCCACTTCTCCAGTTGAGCCAAACTGGGCATCCTTGGGAATGTGGAGGAAACAAGGAAGGTTACCCTGGTAACTGCCTGGCCCTGCCCTGCGGCAGTACAGACAAAGGCCACTACCCTCCCCCCTGGCTACTGTGCAGTCAAGGTTCCCAACCCCCCACCATCACCCTGGCTCAGTTCCCCCCTCCTCTGCCTTTAGCTGAAGCTCCATTAGCTTTGCACAAAACCTCAACCCACCCCTGGGAAAGGTGCTTTCTGAGCTTTTATTGTCCTGAGCAGTGGGGGCTGGGGCCACCCTCAGGTTCTCTGGCTAGGCTCCAGGATTGAGAATGGCTCCCAGAGGGGAATTGATGCCAAGGATGGCCTAGGGCTTGGGCAAAGTCTTGCGAGAGGGGCTAGAGACTGAGGCTTGGAGCTATTTTCTTGGTCACTTGGTGTGCCTCACTAATTCATGGTATTTGTTTTGCTTTTTTTTTTTTTTTTTTTTTTGACAGGGTTTCTCTATGTAGCTTTGGAGCCTGTCCTGGAACTTGCTCTGCTGTAGACCAGGGTGGATACTTCTATTAGCCTGGTACTTCATTGGCTTGTTTTAGTTTAGTTGGCAATTTTTGTTTTGCTTTGTTTCTTCACAGGGTTTCTCTGTGTAGTCCTGGCTGTCCTGAAACTCACTCTGTAGATCAGGCTGGCCTCCAACTCACAGAGGTCTACTTGCCTCTGCTTCCCGAGTGCTGGGATTAAAGGCGTGCACCACAACTGCCCAGCTTGGTTAATTTTTAATTTATATTTTACATTATATTGGTATTATTTTTATTTATTTTAGTTTTTCAAGACAGGGTTTCTCTGTGTTGCTCTAGCTATCCTGGAACTGGCTTTGTAGATCAGGGTAGCCTTGAACTCACAGAGATCCACCTGCCTCTCTCCCCCCAGTGTTGGGGTTAAAAATGTATGCCACCATACTTGGCTTTTCTTTTTCTTTTTGCCTTGAGACAGGGTCTCACTTTGAAGCTCAGGTGGCTTTGAATTCTCTATGTAGCTCAGAAAGGCCTTAAACTTGTTATGGTCCTCCAGATCAGCTTCCTGAGCATTTGAATTAGAGATGGAAGCCTCCACATTAAGTCCATGTTCACTTTCTTTATTGGGGACAAGGCTGGTTGTGTGTGTGTGTGTGAGAGTGAGAGAGAGAGAGAGAGAGAGAGAGAGAGAGAGAGAGAGGAGAGAGAGAAAGAGAGAGAGAGAGGGAAGAGGGGGGAGGTCTCTCATATATAGTGCTCACTGTTCTGGAACTCACAATGTTGACCAATCTGGCTTTAAACTCACAGAGATCCATCTGCCTTTGCCTCCTGAGTACTAGGATTAAAGGTGTGTACCATGACACCTGGCTCCATGTTCACCTTTAAGTGTGAATAAAAGTAGGGTCTAGAGCAGTGTTTCTCAACCTTCCTAACCCTTTCATAGAGTTTCTCATGTTACGGTGGCCCCCACCCATAAAATTATTTTCATTACTACTCCATAACTGTAATCTTGCTGTTAGGAATCTGTGTTTTCTGATGGTCTTGGGAGACCCCTAAGGGTTTGAGACCCACATGTTGAGAACTGCTGTCCTAGAGTGACACATACTAGTGAGGCCTTACTGCACATGGGAGTATCCACCTTGGACACCAGGAAAAGGGAGTTTTCTAGACTTGGTGACAAACTGAACTTCGCCTGCCTGGGTGGTAGACCTGCTGGGCCGCCTTGTGCTAGTGGCCTGAGAAAGTCAGGGCTGGGTGCGTTTCACAGGCGTCAGTGAGGTGAGTGCTTCATAAGAAGGAAAATTACCCAATATCAAAAAGAATCCATTTGGGGACCAAACCCTGTGGCCTCAACCATGGTGCTGCTGCTGTCCCTGGTCCTGACTGGCCGTCGGGCGCTCACCTCTTCCAGGAACTTCTAGACCCAGGTTGGGGCAAGATGTGGGGTAGATATCGTCTCCTGAAGGCTCTGTCACCAAGGTAAAGTCTGTCAGGAGGTGAACCACTAATGCCCAACGGAGGCGTCTTTCTCGCCCAGACCACAACGCGCCTCCCAGAGTGGGGCCCTGGGTTAGCGCCATGGCGCTGGTTTTTAATCTAGAGCCTTTAATTTTTAACGTGGCTAGGTTTTTTTTTGTTCTGAATGTATTCTCACCATGTGCTCTAGCTCTCTTTTGACAATTTTCCCTCATTTTTGAGGAAGGAGCCTGGACTGGGACCTGGGGAAGGGCAGGGGGAGCGCGTGGCATGCAGAAGGTGAATGTAGGAAACAAGCCAGAGGTCCGCTCGTCATCCCCACGGGAGGGAAGACGGCTTTCTCCTTTGTCGCCGTCATCCAGGGGCAGGAAGCCGCGCGTCTGTCTCCGGGAAATCTCATGCACCCCCTTGTACTCCCCACCCCTCCCTCCGCTTCCCGCCCCCGGGGGC